TCTAGGAAACCACCTCCGCCTCCTCCTCCTCCGGCCGATCCTCTAATCTTGTCGTTGACCTTTGACGATGAAATATCATGCTAATGCGTAACAGTACTTCTCGCAGGCCGTCGGAAAGTTTCAAGCGCAGAGACAACAGAGAACGTTTTATGCCCGGCCGGAATGTGTGTCAGCAGGATTCCCAATTCTTGACGAAAAGGGAGAAGGGAGAAGTGCGCGCGAGAGAGAGAGAGGGAAAGAGATGAAGCGAGGAAGGGACGGAGGGAGAGCGTGTTACGAGGCATGTCGCATTCAATTTCACGCGGTCCGTTTTCTGGTAATTGGCAGGATGGCGTGCGCCCGGCTCGACCCGGCTCGCCGGTGCGAGTTTAATCGAATCCGAAAGAGATTACTCTCCGGGCAGCGCGACAAAGACCGTTTGACAAAGTGTGGAGCGCGAGCGGCGGCCGCGGCCAACGCCGAAAGACTCAATCGAGTAACAATGGAGCGGTGCCGCGAAAGCCCGTTAGGGTCCTTTTACATCGACGTAAGGTTAACTTACATAATGTATGAATATTGAGCCGGAGCAGCAACGCAGCGAGGGGAGGCGCGATGAGTCACAGACAGGGAATTCTGTCGACGCGTGGTAGAATCCGGTAACCGGGCATTTTTTCTCTTTTTCTCCTTGTTCATTCGCGCGTTTTACCGGACGAATGCCCCGGGCTCGGCATTGTGCCGGTTCAAGGAGGACGCAGATCGTTGGGAAGGATGCTCCGGTGGACATTGGCGATCGGGATCGGGGGAGAAGACAGTGGGATGGTTGCTAGGTGCAAATTGTCCGGATTCTAAGGGGAGGGATCTCGTCGAGGAAGGATCTAGGTGTTGCGTTAACGGCGAATCGCGACGGTGGTTCGGCGAAGTACAAATGCGAGAGGAATTGCAAGTAATAGGTATGCGATTGTATGCAATGAGAAGTTACTTCGATTTTTCCGGCTTGCCATAACGTGGAACGAGGATATTGAAACCTGGTTGGCATTCGATTATCGCGAAGTTTGATGTCTTTGATTCTGGGAATAGAAAGCCTCTGAATGAATGATTCACTGAATTACCAGACGGCTGAAGGGAATCATTCCTGATCTCTCCTTTTTACAATTGTTCTGAAGATAACGGATATTTCTGTGAGAAACTATTCAATTCAGCAATATGCAAACTGAGTTGTAATCGAAGATTCGATAGATGCATCGTTGAAGTTGCTGTAGGGATTTCAAAAAGTCAACTGTTAAGTAGGTTTGGCGTTAGCACAAAAACTACCGAGCATTTAATACACAAATTAATAGATTAATATGCAAATCCTATAAAAATTGTAACAATAGATTATTTTCAGTTTCTTCAGACATTCATTATAGTACTCTAGTGAAACTATTTGTTTTCAAAATCATTTAGAATATTCAATGCCTCGAAGATATCAATAATTGCTAAACAAAAAAATCGAAACCAGTCATTTTTACTGGTACGGTAGTTGTAGTGTTAATGTTGAAGATCCATAGAAGAAAATTATCTACAGACCCAACTATTCCGAAATATTAAAACTCCAAAGTGAATCGTCCAGCAATCCTCCTCGATCCTTTATACCATTCAACCCAATCAAACAAGATTCCCTTGTTAACACTATTCAAACACCTCCAACTCAAACTGAATAACATTCCAAATACTCATAATTCCTGAAAATACAAGAAAATTAACCGTTTGAGGACTGAGGGGCGCTATAGCGCTCTTGTGTCGTTCCAAAATTGCGGAGGCGCTTCTGTTTATCAGTATCAATTATAATTTTCTTACTATATTCTTCAAGAACTAAATCAAAGTAAATTTATTTGAATAAATGTTATTTCTTGATATTTTTTTGTAACAACACAATATTTCTGATCTCATTAGATAAGTACTTTTATTAACCCTTTGTACTCGAGAGGTGACTCTCAGTCTCCATTTGATTTGCTACAGCAAAACTATGAAGTTAAATATTTAGTACTTTAAATTAAACTTTGTACTGTTACGTGAAATATTTAAGTAAAATATCTTTGCTTAATTTATCTGTGAACTATCGTTAGATTAGATTCAAACAACGTCGTCTGTATCTCGTCGGAAAATCTCGAATATTTCCATTAAAAAAACTTTCGAGTGCAAAGGGTTAATTTTTTTGTATACACACTCACTTCCGTAGTTTTCGTAAATATCCACAAAAGTTGTTCAGCATCCGAATGGTTAAAACGAAAAGGTAACAGAATCTAGAATTGTTCTCCGAAGACCGAAGAAAAAAATGGTTTAATCGCGTGCCATCCCGAATGGTAAACCCAATTCGCGGCGAGTACGTTGATCCAACGAGCAGCTTCGGCTATGAATCAATCAGCGCTGGCAGAAGGCAATTCAAAAACCCGACGGCGAGTATCTTCGAGGCAAAGGAGAACGAAGAATAGTGAAATTGACTCGTTAGTCGCGAGAGCATGCACGCGCGCACCGTCCGTCCGTCCGTCCGTCCGTCGCCGGTGCGTCGAGGTGAGGCCTGGGTATACAATACAACAACGGTCGTCGCGTGTATGCAGCCGGCCGAGGAATTCGTGAGAGTGTCAACCCACGCGAGACGCTCGACAACGGGAAACGATGACGCTGGCTGATCTCAAAGGCATCCATCGATCGCGAGGCAGTCAACGGTTCGCGCAGTCCCGACCGACTTTATGAGTTATAAGTCGGCCATCTTGCGAGAGCCATCACATATTCACGTGCGCGCATATGCGATGCACTGGCAATATGTAAGTGCCACATTCTGCTCTGGTGCACGCGTACAGTCTAATCTAAAAATTACGGCTCTCGTGCGTTCTTCTTTCGCGAACGTTTCCGCGGCGATCCACGGGCAATATCGATCGAAATATTTCCATCGGGATATTCAGCTTGTTACATAATTGAACCTGCGACGGTCTCCTCTCCGATTGAAGCTAGAACGATAATTCATTCCGGAGATTGCTCGTCGCTTCGAAGCGGACGTTAAAACAGCGAAATTTCAATGACAAATTTCCAACGATCGTAATTCCCCATTGACTATGACGATCGCTCGATGTACCGATCCGAACGGGACAGGATAAATATAAATAGATCGCGCGTTCTACTTTCTACGAGTGGCAGCTCCAAATTTTTACGATCGACATTTCAATTCGAGGATTACCCGGTTCGAGCCGAACACCGTGAGCTGATCAAGGCTACGACGATAGCTGACAAAAAGAAAGTGTCTACGATAGACACCCGTGATAAGAGGAGCGACTCCTTTATTCGACGGGACGATCGATCGTCTATTAACTTTCTATATTTCTCGTGGTCCAAGACCCTTCGAAACAGTTGGCCGATCGTTCTGATAAGAGGCGTTCCTCTTTTTCCACGCGATTCGGCTCTCATTAGCCTCCACCAATCTAGCGAGCTCAAGATCTACGATCTTCTTCTTCTCTCGCCCCCCGAAGCCTATCAATATTAAGCAAGAAACCACGGGATCCGATGGAATTATTGATGAGAGGAGGATGAACCCGTGACAGGCGTCTCATTAACGCAGATCTGGATCGTTCGGTCCAGCCAATGAACGCCAGCCTGCCTCCTAAGCTGGCGAACTATTAATTCCTATTACTAATTCCACTTTCACGGTACGTTTGACACCGAGCTCTCCAAGAATTTATCAACGCTCGTTTTCAATAACCATCAAAACTGCTCGGAGCCAATCGCACCGATAACGGGGCGCGAATGGAACTCAGCGGGGATTAATTTTTTTCCATTCGTTTTCCGATTGTTCCCGGTTTATCGATAACGCTCCGCTGAAACCTGAGGTCGTCGGTGCGAAATTGATTTCCCGCCAACGAACGATCAGGAATGCCAGCCAGTTATAGTTGTCAATTGCCGCTAGCCCAGCCCCGAATTCAATGCCAACCAATCGCACCGAGTCCCATTGTTGGCTCGGCTAACCATTTCGTCGAATACCGAGCGACTCTAATTTCTCTTCAGCGAACAGCCGCGTGTCCTGCCACGAATAATAACGATTCGAGGAATAATAATGTCACGATCGACGCCGCTTCTACCGAGGATTCGCTGGATCTTCGAAAATGAGGGATCGTTTTTTTATACCGATTCCCGTAACGAGCGCCGTCGCCCACCTGTTATCGTTTCACGATTCAAGAATGGAAAACGAGAGGCGCTGGGCACTAGAAACACAGGCCATGGATGGCTATTAACGATTGTTAGCCAAGATGGGTCTAATTAGCCTATGTAGATCTCGGTTGGCGAGGTGAGCTCTGTACGTGGACCCGAGTTCAGAGACGTATTTGGCTCTAGAGGATTGATTGCAGCTACAGATTCTAATTATCGGTTTTATAGAATACAATGAACGTTCCATAATTCTAACTGGACATTTTTTCTATAAAAGCTCACATTAAAAACTACAATCGTGATTTGAAAGTAATTCCGGGTGAGATGTTCAATATCGAATCTTCTATAGGCCTATTTATCTATTCTACATATATCTACTTTCATAAATATATTTCTTTTCGTCGAGTATCAATGATTTTCACGATATAATAGTTCCGTTAACACTAGGTTTACGGAATCATTAGATTTTAGAAATATTATTTTGTAAATGTTCACGCCGATTTTGATTGATGCGATCACACTGACATGTACCTCAATTACCTACTACCAAATCTCCAGTTTCCACAATCTAAATAAACGAGCATCAATTCTTTTAGGAATGGTAGAATGAAGTGTACAATAAATGTCCGTAAACCTAGTGTTAAGAAAGAAAGCCATCTCTCCCTGATTTACCCTGTCGAAATTTTCTCAGCAACGACCGTCAACGTGGATATCAACTCTTTCGGAGCTGCATTGCAGAAGTCTGAAAGTGTTCTAATGGAATTTCCAGCGCGCCCTCGAGCAACCTTTAAACGAAGCAACGATTCCAAGTACCGGCGAGAGAGCAATACGAGCAAAGGACTCACCGTGTGGCTGTTGGCCAGTCGCAGGGTTCAGGAAGGTCGGCGGTAGCTGTCTGCTGACTGACTTGGCCAACTCTCCACCCGCCAGTCCGTAGATCGCCAGCAGCTCTTGCATAGTCGACTCCGCGTACTCCCTCATGCCCTCGAAGGGCTTCCTCTCCTCGCAGTCGGCCTCGCCGTCCGCGTCCTGTCCCCGATCATCCTCGAACGGCGTGTCATCTAATCGGGCTGACTCGGTATCCAGTACACCGCTGTCGCTCTTTTCCGACGAGTCCGAGTTTGGACTCCTCGCCTGGACCACCGAAGCAAACTCATTTTCACAAATTATACCTGGTTCATGAAATTTCAATAAACTACTTTCGTTGAGTCTACGTTCTATCATGTTTGTTTCTTACGATCATTGCCAGTTTCACGGTGCAACTTATGTATTTAGATAGCAAGAGTTCAAAGTATTCTAAGAATCCTATTACTATAACTCATTTAGCAACCAAAGAATTATCTCTGCTAGATTGATAGGATTGATCGTGAATGATTTCTAGTTTCGAATGTTTTCTTTCTAAATTTCATCGTCTAAGCTTGAAGATTCTAAATCAATCCGATTTTGACAGACGTCATACCTCAGTGCCAGGTGAGTAGAGCTTCTGCGACCTCAGCTGCTCCAGGATGAACTTATGCCTAAGCGAGTCGCCGCTGTCATCGTCAGCCTCCGACGAAGGTGGCCTGGTCGCGACGGACAGGTCCATCGGGCTGACCTCGTTGTTGTTCAGCCTCTGCTTGGACCTGTCCTCGGCCGGCAACAGCATCGTCTTTCTCTCGTACTCGAGGATCTCGCTGGAGCTCTCCTCCATCGTTTCCAGCTCCTCGTCCTCCTTCTCCGAGTCATCGGACACCTCTACCATACGACTGCTTATCGGTTTGAAGTTCTTCCGCTTGTTCCGCGGTTTCTGGATACTGGTGATCTGCAGCTGGGCCTGCGCCTCGTACTGGGAGTCGCTGTCCTGGTCGGCGGTCCCCCGCCGGGTCGTCGCGTAGTTGTACACCGAGTCGGAAAGCATCTCCGCTGATGGAAAGGGATCGGTGTCAGAGTGATCTACAGGATCGGTTTGCGGCTGGTAATTAACCCTTTATAGATCACCGATGCGAACGGTACATCGAGTTACCAGACACGTCGCTGAATAACTTGTTCAAGAGATTTCGCATTGATTTCTGTTAACTATCCAGCGAATCGCATTCAATTGATTTACAGTAAGCGTCTACGTTTAATAACAGCAAATTTCGCCTGCGAAATAAAAAGCTTTTTATCGCCGAAGCTGTCATGTCTATCAGAGCTCAATGCTTAGGGTATGCAGAGTTCTTGCTTCTTTTTCGTAGAATTTTGTAATAACAGGAGACAGCGTGGTGTTCGAGTATTTCGTTTCTAAGGTGAGTTGTTCTAGGTGGAACCTAGATGTTAGTGGAGCTAACAGAGCGAGCTAAGTTGTTTTATCATCATAAATGACCGTCGGTGACTAGAATTGATGGATTCCAGCCCGGGAGTTGCGCAACGCGAAGGCCGCTCGCTTCCCGCAAATCAAATTTTAACGTTAATTAGAATTCAGCCGGGGCACTCGTTAATTGAACGTTCTCGGAATCGTTAGAGTACTCGCGCGGCTATTAAGATTCGGTAAAACGGAGGGATACGTGATTGAAAGCAGTTGGCTCGGCTCGCTTGAGTAATGGCGGTGGGTTGTTTGGGAGCGATGTTAAAGGAAGTGTCTTACTAGGGCCATACGGGCTGGTTACGGCGGACATCTCGATACTCCTGGACCGGCCGACTCCTCAATGCATTCTGCAACAGAATTGTACCGAAATCGTTAGAGCATTGTCCAAACAGAAGACTCATTTTAACATCATTCATTCTAAAAACACTACTTCATCCTCGATCCATATCTTCAGAGTATCCAATCTTAATCTTACAAACGATCACAAATCATCCAAAAACCTAGCAACCTATTCCTTCAGAAATTTAGACCAGTCTTCAATCTTTCTAATGAAACCACGGAAGAATCCCAGGAGATTCATCGGCAAAGAGATTCAGACTTCCTGGGCCTGGACTTAGGCTACTCGAGACTTTTTTCTCCACCTCCGAGTAACGTGATGTTAACCGAAGTCCAATCGATCGACAGCATAAGAATCAACGGCGTGATCGAGCAAGAAAACCCTCGATTCCCTGAAGATCTGACGCGAGCACCGGAACGGGGAAAGAAATCCTCCCGGGTTATCTATTTCTGTGTCAGTGCAAAAGTGGGTTGCGGCAAGTTCAGCGAAACCCCCGGACAGGCCCGTCACGCTGCCGAACGAACGGGCCGTCCACGTTTGCGCCACTGGAACGAGACGCGAGAACAAGGCGAAAACAAAGGCACGTCGTCGTAACAAAAGCTAGGCTGATATACGAGCGCTGCTCGGTCAGCCGAGCAGACGGGCCCGCGATAACGCGAAACGAGGGACAATTCGTTTCTCGGTTCCGCGGGACGACTCGTTCTTGGGGACCCACGAGAGAGTCAACCGCTGGCAACCTGGACGAAACACTCTGGAAACGATCGGTTCGAGTCTTCCGTCATAATTCGATGAACCGAACTATTTGTAGTTGAAATGAAGCAATCAATCGCGCGTTTGAAATATTGAAGTTTTTACCGTTTGATCGTTAGATTACGGAATTTGTTGAATTTATGGTTGTTAAAGAGTGGTCGGATTCTAAAAAGCATCGATGAAAATTTAGGTCGAAGTTAGCGGAACATATAACGGAGTTAGCAGAGGTTGACGATTGTAGCAAACTGTTCATTAGTCGAAGTTTAACGATGAAACGTTTTTCCTACGGGAGCTGGCAATCTGTCATTAATGGGACTGTCTCGACGAGGTTCGAGGAAACTGTCGTTTCACGGTCCCGAAACGGAAGTGATTCCTGGCGAGGGCAGCGGAGGAATTCCAAAGGGACAACGGAGGAAAATGATTTCTTGCCGCGAGTGAACCGGTGCGACGCCATATTCGTCGGGTGGCCTTAATGGGCCAGTTTTAGTGCGGAAATAAATAACCGATAATGAACCGGGCAAAAACGGAACTAACGATTTTGAGGCCGAATTAGGCGGCGTGTTTCGGATGCCTCGGTCCAAGTTATCCAAATCGATTCGGGGGGAGTGCTGACTGGTCGGCGCGATGATTCGAGCAATCAGCAGCCCGAAATAAATGACTGCTGATGAGCGTTGGGCAAGGAAAGAAACTTACCGAGCGGATTCCTCTCTGTTGTTCGACACCGTTCACGTGTTTACCGCTCCCCTTTTCAACAAATCTCGAATCATTCGTGAAATAAATGAGCGCCGAGTCATGCGGTCGTTATAAACCGCTTTGCGTTCTATTCGTTTCAGCTAGGCAACGGTCGTCCAATGTTTTTTTCAACTTTATAGTCCGCGTCGTGAATTATTTATTCGGTAAACTTCATTGATAGTGATATATAGTTATGAATTTACCATGAACTTGTTTAATTAGGAATTTATCTATGTGTAACTGGTTCAGTATACAGCCGCGACGTTAATAGATGATTTTTAATACGCCCAATGATATTCTCAACGCGACGTAACCCGAAACGGAACTCCCCAAAATGCGCGCAATTAAACCTACATTCTGATGTCATTAAAGGAGAATGAAGGACAGCTATAATTACCGTCATAAATGCAGCTAATAATCATTATTTCAATCATAACTACCTCGCCCAGCCATCCGAGACTTCGCATTCCCCGCCCCGAACAAAAACCACCCAATTGACTCTGATCTATAGTGCGCGGATTTTTATGCAAAATAAAATGTTCACCGGGCAATTTACAAAGAGCGCAGTTGCACACAAATTTATTTCTCTCCGTCGATCATTTCAATATATCATCCCCTCTGGAAAAAACAAATTATACACGATCGTGAAGCTCGTATTCATCTTTAACACGGCGGACAAAAAGGAGTCGAAAGTGGCCAGCATATTCATTCAACTCCTAAAAAAACGTCTACCAACTAACAAACCCTGTGAAACTCTGCAACCATATTCCCCGAAGGACTTTCTATCTTAAACCAGACAGTCGACGAAACGGATCAACCAGACAACGAAACCAATACTAGAACCTCTAAGATTCGATACCCATTATCCATCAAATATTCTTCTATTATTTACAATACATCCATCCACGGTATAAATCCCAATTTAACCCTTTGCACTCGGAAGTTTTTCACTAGAAACATTTGAACAATTTCTGATGATATAAAGACGATATTTTGCGAAACTAACTCGAAGAGAAATCATACATACATTAAGGAACAAAGCCATTTTATTTCTATATTTTATTTCTCGATTTGGTACAGCAAAATTGTGAAGTATAATATGTAATGTCAAGTTTCGTAAGATACATTAATATGTGAAATATTAAAATGAAACAGCCTCTTTCTTTAATTTTTGTACGATTTCTCGTTAAATTAGTCTCATGAAATGTTGACTATTTCATCGGAAGGTGTATTGGGTATTTTTGGTAGAAATCTCTTGGAGGGCAAAGGGTTAAATATCAAATTTCATAGTTTTACTGTATGAAATCAGGTGGTGAGGGTCACCTCTCGAGTGCAAAGGGTTAATATAACTCTATCTCTCTTCATCGAAAACAACAGCGTGCATCTATCCCAAAAATCCATTGACACCGTCAAGGAAAGAGTTACCAAAGCCGTCAAAGTCACCGAGTTAGTGGCATCGATTAGGAGGGAAGGCTATGGGGTAGCTGCAACGTGGAGAGGGTAAGAAGGGGGGAGACTAGGGGGCGGTTTCATCGAGTTGACAAGTCGACAGGACTCGAACCGAGCCGAGCGGAGGTCCCAGGCCGAGAAATTTCCCTAGCGGTTTCGCCGGAAGTGGAACGCGATTGGAGGACACGTCGGGTACTAGGCGGGCCACGTGACCCGCGCCACTCGCAGCCGAGGACACACAGGAGACCTCTCCTCGACGGGGATGCACACCGCGAGTGGACGATATGTCCGAGCGGGACCGGGGCATTCTTTTTTTGCCGGCTGTACACAGAAGGGATAATTAACATCTGTTACAGTACGCGGGCCGGAGCGGGCCGCCCCGTTTCACCCCCACCACCGGCCACGGGGCGGACCTTGAATACATTATCACCCTGTTTGCACATGAACGTACGTACACCAGGCCGTCGAATCGGAGTGCAGCGCGATCGACCCTGAACAATGGGACTGGGAGCCTCTTTGTTGCTCCGTTCGCGGTGCTTTCTTCTTTTGGGCATTGCCCCGTGTTCCCTTTTTTGTCTCTGTTCACCTTCTCTCTTCTCGCCGGCTTTTCTTCGGGGACTTATTCTCGTTTCCCGCAACTTTGTTGCGCGAGCTTGTCTATTTAAATCGCGACTCGCGCGCGGAGAATGTTTTCCTTCGTGGCCGGGTTTAATATGCGCTGACCGTATGAATCCTTCGCGGCGGGACGACTGGCGTGTTATTGTCGTATTTATATATAGTTCAGTTCCTTTTGTTGGTACGGGGTACTCGTAGTTCGACCGTGTCGTGTTATTGTTGCTCCTTCTATCGGATAGGAACATCCTTTAGATGGAAGGTGGCGATTGTGCGATTTCTTCGGTTCTGAAGGTAACGAAGAAGAATGCAGTTTCATTCACGCAGTTTTATTTCGAGAGAAATACTCCGTTGCAGAGATTTCTTGAACATTCTTACAGGTGGAGGGAATTATGTAATTTCGTCTTAGTCTGATTCTTCGGAGCAGACAATAACATCGACGCGAACCAAGGAGACAGTTCCAAGTGACCCAACCTGCGTATTTCTCGAGTGCACTCGAAAGAAGCGTCTAATGGCAGGAAATTCGTTCTTCAGCGTGCCGTTCGAGGTCCGAGAGCGTGGAAAAGACGCGCAAGAGTTGTGCCGCGAGGAATGCCCGGTCGGCACCGGGTTTCCCGATCTATCCTAGTCCCTGGCTCTGTTCCCTCGGCGAAGGGGTTACTTCTTTCCGCGCGCGGATTCGAGAAAAAGAGAGATTCCCGGGCCGGCTGGCCTAGATTCTTGGGGCGCCGGTCTCGAACTTACCGAGAATAAAGTGGAAACTGGCCGGAGGGACGCGGAAACCTTGGGATTCTTCGGGCTATTATTCGAAACCCGTAAAAAGCGCGGCCCCTAATGATTCAATTCGAGCGGGAGGAAGCTGGACGATTAGAAAAACGGCCGCGGCTGCTCCCTTGTCACGACTCGGCGATGATGAATTCAACGCGGTCGCCGGAAAAGGAACGGCCGAGCCGCGCCGCGATGGAAATTGAGACATTTTCCTCGACGGCCGGCTCTTTTCTTGGCAAAAGTGGAACTGGACTTGCCCGGGACTGGTGGCAGCATTAGGAAGTCGCCGGGAATTTATGCGTCTCGGGATAGCAGTCCGCAGACTTTCATTTTACTGAGAGGGGATACTTGATTGCGATGCTAAACGTTGAATAATTATGTAAAGTCTAAATGGATACAATTTGTAATTCGCTTGTAGCGAATGTAATTATCTTCTTAACGAAGCGTTTCGAAATATAATGAAATGATGCTGATTTCGTGTATTTTCAGGTTTACGTTAGGACATTGACTAATTCTGTAAACAACACGTTTGACACGTTAGAAAATACAAAGAAATGATATTGATCTCTTATGATTTAAGGTTTGTATTCGGACATCGAATAGTAAATAACACGTTCGACGCGTTAAAAGATTGTTCAAACATTATTTAAAGAAGCTTATCGTTGACGAGACCAATATTGGGATCTTGTTTTCGAAAACAG